TCTGCCTCCCAAGTGCTGGGATTAAAGGTGTGCGCCACCATGCCCGGCAATAAACAACTTTTAATAGTTAGTGAACAGTTTTACCATTGATACTCCTGCCTCAAGCACATCCCATCATCTTTGCTATCTCAGTGGTCCATCATCTACACTCCTCCACTAGCAATCTCCAAAAGTATGCATTTAAGAATTTTTTATTGTGTAATATTCATATGGTGGTAATGAATATTACAGTGAGCATAGCCTTATCAATTCCTTTGAGATATAATCAAGTATAATTGATAACCAAAGGATATTCTCATGTTAAGCCCTTCATGCACATTACTATATTGAGCTAAGCAGATTATTTTTCCATAAAAATATTTGATGGGCCCCATATTATAATCTGAGGTGTTTTTTGTTTTGGTTTGGTTTTTTTTGAGACAGTGTCTTCCTATTGCCCCAGTGGCCTGGAACTCTCTCTGTAGATCAGGCTGACCTCTAACTTACAAAGATCCACCTGCCTGTGCCTCCCAAGTGCTAAAATTAAAAGTGGGCACCACCATGCCCAGGTACGAGGTTTTTAAAATTTGGGGATACCTCTTAATTAGAAATAACAATACAAAACTACCACAGCTCAGTTTTTAATATAAACTAAGTTGTGCTAATACAGTTAAGTCGTATTAAAAAACAGATTTAGTATATACTTTAAAAAACAAACTGTTCAAGGGGCTTGAGAGATGGCTCAGTGGTTAAGAGCCCTGTCTACTCTTGTAGAGAACCCAGGATCAGTTCCCAGCACCCACATGGTGGCTAACAACCATGCAACTCAGTTCCAGGTGATCCAGTGCCCTCATTTGGCCTACATGCAGGCAAAACACTCACACACATGTGTTAAAAAATAATTAATTAACTAAAAAAACTGTTCAGGCTGGTGAGATGGCAAATCCACCTGCAGTCTTTGGTGCTTGGGATCTTACTGGCTCATTGATGGTGCTATAGATTTCTATAATCGGGAACTGCTGTCTCTCAGCTGATTTTTGTGTAGCCAGGCACCCAAAGCACCAGTTCTTGTGTACTGTTTTTATATCTACTTCTCCAAAAAAAGAGTTGTCTTAAAGGCCATCTTTCATAACTGCTCACTTCTCTTCCTCTAGCTTCTACCTGGAAAGATGTGGCTGTTTGGAGCTCCTTGCCCAGGAAAGTTGATGAAAATGGGGCCTATGGATGGAGACTACATGGAGCACGTGGGGAAGGGAAGAGGAAATGTTTCTTTTAATAAATCAACATTGTAAAAGTAGCCGCACTACTTGAGTTATCTGGTTAGAGGTTGTCACAGTTGAATAAGGTATGTCTCCCACAGGCTTATGCACTGAAGGCTTGGCCCATAGCTGGTGGCACTATTTTTAGAAGTAGTGGAAACTTTAGGAAGTGGGGCCTAGCTTGAGGAAGCAGGGTCTTGGGGACATGTTTTTGAAGGATTTTTGTCCCTAGGCCCTTCCCATCTCTTGATGCTTCCTGACTCCTACAAGGTGAGCAGCCTGTACGACACAGTCATGCTGTCAAAATTCTGCTTTACCACAGACCAAAGCCATAGATCCAGCCATAGACTGAAACCTTAGAAATTTTGAGTCAAGAATAAATCCTTCTTGCTTTAAATTGTTTCTCTCAGGTATTTGATCACTCAAGAAACTCAAAACAAGAAAAGCTAATTAATCCAGAGGCTGGTAATGATGAGGAACTAGAGTCAGAGAAGAGGATACAAGACATTTGTTGAGTAGTTTCTTTTTTTAATATTTTATTATTTTTATTTTATATGAATGAGTATATTGCCTCTGTGTATGTAAGTACACCCATGTCCTACAGTACCCTCAGAGGTCAGAAAAGGACATTGGATCCCCTGGAACTGGAGTTTCAGACAGTTGCTAGCTGCCATGTGGGTGTTAGGAACTGAACCTGGGTCCTCTGCAAGAGCAGCCAATGCTCTTAAATGCTGAGCCATCTCTCCAGCCACTGTTGAGTGGCTTCTAAGCAACAGGGACTGGATTAAATTCTCCACAAGCATTGTTTTTTCACTGTGTTTAGCATCACTGTTTCACAAGTAGAGACACTGAGTTCTGAGGGAATTAGGTAATTTTCTCTTCATGTCCTATATCAGATAAGTGTCAGGGCCTTTGGTATAATCTCATGACAAACTCCAAGGCCTAGGCATTATAGCATAGTGATTAAGGCGGTCAATCTCAAATTTCAGACCCAGACCCACCAGACAACTGTGTGCTGTTAACAATAGTCTTAGCCATTTTGTTTTAGTAGCCTCATCTGTATAATGGCAAATATCACATAGAGATACAAGTTAAAAGAAGTCTTGGTATAGTGCCAGATATAGAAAGTTCAGTTGGTCCTCTGTATCCCCAGATTCTGCATGTACAAATCAATCACAGTACATTGAAGAGATTTGATGCAGAAAATGTGTCTATAATGAGTATATATATATATATATATATATATATGTCATTATTCTCTAGCTAATATAGTATGGCAGCTATTTACACAGCATTTGTAACTTAATAGGCATTAGAAGTCATCTAGAGATTATTTAAATTCATAGGAAGATGCATGTAGGTGATACATTAATATTATGTTACCTTTAAACATTTCACTTTTTAAGATTTTGTGTCTATGTGTCTCTCTGTGTGTGTGTGTGTGTGTGTGTGTGTGTGTGTGCTTGTGTGTGAGGTACCTATGGAGGTTAGAGAGGGTGTCAGATCCCCTGGAGCTGGAGTTTTAGGTAGTTGTAAGGTGCCCAATATGGGTGCTAGAAATCAAATTCAGGTCCTCTGGAAGAGCAGCAAGCATTCTTAACCACTGAGTCGTCTCTCTACCCCTGTGTTATTTTATATAAGTGATTCGAGCATCTTCACATCTTCAGATTTTGCTATTCTTGAGCATTATCATGGTTGGCTTCAGTTGCCAATTTGACACACCTGGGAAGAAGGAACCTCAATTGGGGAATTTCCTCTATTGGCTTGGCCTGTGGGCATGTCTGTGGGTGGGGCCACCCCTGGGCAGATGGTCCTAGGTTGTATAAGAAAGCAAGCTGAGCACAGTCCAGGGGAACAAGCCAGTAAGCAGCATTCCTACAAGTCTCTGTTTCAGCTTCTGCCTCTAGGAACCTGGAGTTCCTGCCCCAGTTTCCCTCAAAGATTAATTCTGATCAGATATATAAGCCAAATAAACCCTTTCCTCCCCAAGTTGGTTTTGGTCAGAGTGTTTTATCATAGTAGTAGAAAACTAACTAGGACGGGAATCCTGGTACCGATCCTTCAGGGATACAAAGAGACAGCTGTATTTAATTAAATGTTAACTATGGGGCTGGAGAGATGGCTCTGAAGAGCACTGACTACTCCTGCAGAGGATCTGGGTTCCATTCCCAGCACCCACATGATGCTAACAACCATCCATAACTCCAGTTCCAGGGTATCTGACACCCTCTTCTGACCTCCATGGGCATTGCATGACACAGGTACACTTACATGCATGCAATACACTCATTCACATAAAATAAAAATAATAAAATACTCAAAAATAAGTGTTAACTATATATTATTAATATTACTCAATAGGTGGGCTCATGACCCTTAGTCTTAATTTTGTAAGACTCTAGAACAGAACCAAAAGCCAATCCTTCTTCCAACCCTCTCCTAATTCAGGGTTTAATCTGGATGCTGAAAGTCAGCCCCTCTTTTTAACTTTTCCCATTATAAAATATGGAAGGCAAAAATGTTTTATGAAGTTGGTGTTCTTAGACTCCAGACTTAAGCCCTGAGCCAGCATAAGCTGCAGGCTCATCACTTTGCTACTAATGTGGCCTTTGAAAACTATTTAAACTCTCTGCCATCATTTCATTAACTGTAAAGAAGAAAAATATAATATCTACCTCATTTGGATGTTATACTGCTTAATTTTTGTTAACTTGTGTATTAGCCACTTTTCTGTTGCTGTGATAGAAACATTGACCCAAGCAATTTATAGAAGGAAGAGTTTATTTGAGCTTATGGTTCCAGGAGAATTACAGTCTGTCATGGAAGGGAAGCATGGTGGCTGGAGGTGACTGGAGCAGGAGCAGCAGAAGCTAAGCTCTCACATCATCATGCAGGCACAGGAAGAAAGAGAGCAACTGGAGATCCGGCAAGACTTAAGAACTCTCTAAGTCCACCCCCAGTGATGTGCTTCCTCCAGGATAGCCACACCTTCTAAAACCTCTCAAAACAGCGCCACCATCTGGGAACAAAATGTCCAAACATTTGGGAGCCTATGGGGGACATTTTCATTTGAACCACCACATTCCACCCCCTAGCCCCCATAGGCTCATGACCATATAAAATGCAAAATGCATTTAGTTCAACTTTAAAAGTCCCCGTAGTTATTGTTAGTCTCAATACTATTCAAAAGTCCACAGTCCAAGGTGGACTCAGGTAAATATCTTAACTGTCAGCATCTATAAAATCAAAAGACAAACCACAGCAGAGGTATAAAAAGACTGTGTGAAGAGTCTAGGTTGAGTGTGGTTCATTGTAGATAGCAGCATCCACATAAAGTGTTACTTGAGACTGAATGACCCAGGTATTGGAAAGTATACTAATGCCAATTTGTTGGGTTGTGATGGAATATATCCTTGTGAATGGCAATGTGAGTGTCAGTTTCCTTCAGGGAAATGAACATTCCTATTCTGTGGGGAACACCAACTGAAAGACAAAAACTTATAGCGTTTCCAGGGAGGTCATTGAAGACCTCTTGTGTTGGCTTGAGTTAGATGTCAGCAGCCCCTAAACTCACCTTCCACCCTAACCTCCTTCTAGCATAGTATTTGAAAATGTCTTTTAAAAATATTTTATTATTTTTATTTTATGTGTATAAGTGTATTGCCTGCATGTATGTAAGTGTACCCGTGTTGTGCAATGTTCGAGGAGGTCAGAAGAGGGTGCTGGATCCCCCTGGAACTGGAGTTAATGAACAGTTGTTAGTCGCCATGTGGGTGCTGTGAGTCCAACCTAGGTGCTCTGCAAAAGCAGCCTGTGTTCTTAACTGCTGGGCCATCTCTCCAGCCCCTGAACATGTCTTAAGTACCACTTCAAATATTCTTTGTCTTAAACAATTAGAACCATTATTATAGAAACCAGTTTATTCTAGGCATTTACTGACTTAGCACAAATGCAAGTTGTCAGAGTCTTGCATTGGGTATGTACTTCTGTATTACACACACGCCACTTTTGCCTTATGATTTCGTCTACAAAACGGGGGGCTTCTCTAGGAATTACTGTACAATGATATATGCTGAACCAGAGAACTAATGTTTGGTGGGGTGATGACTGACAAGAGAAATTGAAAACCAGCAGATAAAACTAGGGAGATGGTTTGGCAGGGAAAGCATGAGGACCAGGGTTCAGATCCCCAGAACCCACATAAAAGTTGGGTGGGTATGGAAACCCACCCATAACCCCAGAATGCAGGAGGCAGAGATACAGAATCCCAGGAGCAAGCTGCCTAGCCAGGCTGGCTGATACCCAGACTAGCTTTGGGTTCAGTGAGAGATCCTACCTAAGTATATAAGGTGCAAAGCAATCGAGGAAATAACATATGGTCAATATTGAACCTCCACACAAATGTACATACTTGTTCACTTGCACACATACACCAGCACCACACACAAGTGAACATGCATACTCACAATACACACATACATGTACAAAAAAAAGCTGGGAGATAGGTGCTTCCCCCCCTCCATTTCTTTATTTTTTTATTTTTGGTCTTTTTGAGACCCGGTCTCCCTGTAGCCCCAGCTGGCCTGGACCTCCTATGTCGACCAGGCTGGCCTTGAACTCGCAGAGATCTGCCTGCCTCTGCCTCCTGAGTGCTAGGATTAAAGGCGAGCACCACAGCATCACGCCTCCCTCCGTTTCTAAAAAGGGATTCTGAGACCATTCCATGAAATTTCTCAGAAACTTCTAAGAATCAATCACCCCTTGCAGTGGCTAACTCAAGAGCTTATATTAGGACTGATTCTTCTTCCTTCCCTGTTCATATATATCTATATATAGATAGAGAGAGAATAAGCAATAATATATAAGCATAATGGTATGTAAATACAAACAAAAACATTTCCCCAAAGAAGCCCAAAGTTTTCAGAAAACTATCTCTACTTAAGCACACCCCTAATTTTCATTGTTGCACATAACATGTATTTTATCACCAGGATACAACACATACATTCAGATGGCACCAAGGTTTTCCCTGCAAGCCAGAAGTAAGGGTTTATATTATATTTATTTATCAAACTCAAAGATCCTAGAGAGAACAGATTTCCAGTCTGATCAACGGTGAATGCTCATCCTCTAACTCTTGGATGCTTGAAAATTGGTCACAGCTCTTGAAATAGCAATTTTATTTTCCAGATTGGTGCCTTTAAGGTTTCAGAAAATCTTGAGGTGTTTAATTCCACCAGATCACCTGTAGGGATTATATTTGACATAGCTCAGTTTAAACTCCAAAATAGATAAATTACACTTCCGTGCCTTATGAACCACAGAAATGGCACCTAAAAGGGGGAGAAAAAAGGAATGAAAAATGCTGCCCGCTGTCACCGAAGTACTGGAAAATTGCCCCATATTCTATTGGCAAGAGTTTAATAAACACAGAGACGGTATAGAAATAAGGACTTCTGGGTCATGTAGCTTTTATTCGGACTATTTTTGTGCCTGAGATAAAAATCACGAACTCCAATGGGATTTTAAGAAGAGAAGGGTATCACAGAACTAGCAGTTTCTATCATTCCGTCTACAAGGGCTCTCTTCAACTCCCGCCAGAATCTGTAACAAAGCAATGTCAGCCCTGCCCAGCAGCAACTTTCTGAGAGCATACACAGAATGTGGACGGTGAAAAGTTTCGAAGTTTATTTCTGACAGCATTTATGGAATACCACCAGGCAGAGGGTCACCAGAGTCACAGGTGCTAGAATGAAACCTGTGGTCCAAAAAAAGGCTTTCCAGGACTGGAGCGCACTGAACCGCTCCGCCCCGCAGCGGCGCTCCGGAAGTACTTCCCTGAGCTTTTACGCAGGAAAATGGCGGCTGTTCAAGTTGCCGGCTCGCTGCCTTGTGGGCAGCCACGGGAGACGCCGCGAGAGCCACCGCCTGAGCAGGACGATGGGTTCTGCCGCTTGTCCGCCAGGCTCCGCGCGCTGCGGCCGGATGACAGCAGTTCCTCCCGCGCCGAGATTCACCTGCTCTTCGACCAGCTCATCTCCGAGAACTACGGCGAGGGCAGCGGCGTGGCTCCCCAGGTAGGCGACGCGCCTCACCCTGCGGGAGTCCGGCCGGTTCTTCCGCCTGCCTCTCCGGGTGGACACCCGCTCCCGGGATCACCTAGTTCCAGGCTGGCTCGCCCTCTCAGTCCAGCACCCTTCCGAACACCACCGATGGCTCCTGCTGAAACATTTCAGCTGCGGTTTCCAGCGGTCTAGGAGACCGCCTTCGCGGCTCCACATTCCAAACAATAGTGCATCCAAAACAGTAGTGTAGATAAAATTCCTTACTACGGAATGAGTACTGTGAAGGGTTCCAGGAATCTTGGAAGGTGGATATTGCCATTAGTTCGTTTTTGCTGATGAAAACATTGAAGCTCATAAAATCTTAGTATCATGTTTTGGCAGATGACAGAGCTAGGTATAATTGGAGCCTGAGTTTGCCATAAAGTTCCTGTATTTTCTGTTTTTATGCACGCAAATTTCTCTTTTGACTCCACTTGAGAAGTTATTTCTGCCGTCGATAATCTTACTCATACACATCGGGCCTCAAATATTACGAATTCCCTTGTACGCATTGGGCACAATCCACTGATTCTTTTGTCCTGGAGCCTGTCAGATTCAGATTCTTCAGTCTGGCTCAGGGATGATTCTCAGTCCCTACCCCCTCCTCTCTATTCCCACTGGCTTTGCTTTAGCCAAACTAACTCTTGCCTGGACTATTTCACTGGACTGAACTTTCTCCAGTCCAGCCCCTCTCCAAACCTCATTCTTTGCTGCCTGAATGTTCTATTTGGTTTAAAAAAAAAAAAAATCTATAAAAGGAAAAAATCTGATTAGAGATATTCAGTGCATTTAGTAAATGACTGAAGTAAATTATATTAATATCCGGGCATGGTGGTGCATGCCTTTAATCCTAGCTCTTGGGAGGCAGAAGCAGGCAGATGTCTGTGAGTTCAAGGTCAGCCTGGGCTACATAGTGAGCTCCAGGCCAGCTTACAAGGAGACCCTGTCTCAAACAAACAAACAAACAAACAAAACCAAAAAAAAAAGAAATTGTATTAATAGAACAGTTCATACCATATGACACCAATATGGGGCTCAAGGAAGGAGGAGGATTTAAAAATAAGTGTATATTTATTTATTTTAATTTATTTACCTTAATTTTATGTGTGAGTTTTGACTGCATATATGTAAGTGCACCAGTATTATGCAATACCTACAGAGGTCAGAAAAGGATGTTGGACCCCCTGGAACTGGAGTGACAGGTGGTGGTTAGTTGCCATGTGGCTGCTGGGAATCGAACCTGGGTCTTCTGCAAGGGCAGTCAGTGCGCTCAACTGTTGAGCCGTCTCTCCAGCCGCCATAAGTGTATATTTAAATATGAGAAAAAAAAAGATTGAGAAGAGCTCACAATCAATAATAAGGTGCTTCACAAAGGAGATTTAGACAGAAATTAGGGGGACTTTTGATTTTTTTTTTGTATACTTTGATATTTTTTGCAACAAAATATGTGCCTTTTCAATTTTCTCTGCTGTCACTCCTCCTTTTGCATCCTGGGTGCAGCCGGTTAGAACTTGCTATGTTCCAAACACCAGAGGGTGATTCACAGTCCAAGGCTTTGCACACTACATTCCTATTACTTGCAGTGTTTTTACATAACTTTGTGTGTGTGTGTGTGTGTGTGTGTGTGTGTGTGTGTGTGTGTGTGTGTTTGAACCAGGGTCTCCCTGTAGCCCCAGCTGGCCTGGACTTTGCTATTTAGACCAGGCTGGCCTCTAGCTCACAGAGACTGCTTTTGCCTTTTTGCTGGGACTAAAGGCATGTGCTGCCACGCCCTGCTTAGTTCTTAATTTACTTTAAATATTTGCATTTCTGTCTTTCAGTAGATTCACTGTAGTTCAGGAAAATGTTTATTTCACCTTTGGAGCCCAAGGAGCTAGCCTACTACCTGGGACATAGTAGGTACTCAGAGCCTTTTTATTCAGCAAACATCAATGGATGGTGTGATTTGTAGATATGATCCTCCTCCTCCTCCTTCTCCTCCTCCTCCTCCCTCTCCCCCCCCCCCATGTGCTTTTGTTTGCTGAAAGCCTTTCTTTGGTGATTTAATAGTACTATGTGGTAGGAATTCCTTCCTTTATTTTACTACCTCCTATTTTTATGCTGTTATTTCATCCCCAACCCTATTTTCTGCCTCAACTTTCACTCAAAAGTCTTTCCTCATTCTTGAGAGTGGGCATTCATTATAATTTCCCATTTGACTATGTTTAGGGTGTTAATACTTGACTAACAGGTGTATTAACCTTTTCTTTGTCCCTTTTTTTAATAGGATGTCAGTGCTCTTCTTGTCCAAGCTTGCCAACTGGTGCCTCTTAATCAGAATCATCTTGTCAGCAAAGTATCTCAGCTGATCCACCATTTACTTAACAGACTACAGGTAATCATGTATGTAACTTTGGGATTCAGATGATGAACTTGAGGATAAGTAAATGCTTTTGAAATACTACATCTGGTGTAGCTATGGTAGGCTGATCTTCTTGTTGTGGGGTTTGGTTTGGTTTGTTTTGTCTCAAAACCAAGGTTGATCTTGAACCTAGTGTATAGCCAAAGATGACCTGAACTTCTGATCCTTCTGCCTTCACCTCCTGAGTGCTGGGGTTATAGGTGTCCACTGTCATGCCCACTCAGTAGTGTGATCTTCTGAGATGCTAGGAAAAGCAAAATGTCCCGGGCTAGGGATGTAGCCAATGGTAGAGCCTTTGCCTAACATGCGTGAGGCCTTGGGTTTGATCACTAGCACCAGTACTACCCCAAAAAAGCAATGCTTAAGAATATATCATTAAACCAAATATAACTCTGGCCAAATATATATTCTGAGCAAATTTGTGTATAAGAAATATTCCTTTCTCTTTGACTCAATAAACCAGTATCATTTGTGCTATCTTACTTTTTTTTTTTTTTTCATGGAAACATGAAAACAAGATGGCCAAGATAATCTCAGAATAAATTTAAATGATCCCCTATTTCTTTCTTGCCAACATTTCCCTGTTTTCCCCAAAACTATCATTTTTGTGATCTACATAAACCCTAAGTAGATGGGGGACAAAGGGAGCCCAGTATAAAAAAAAAAAAATCTCATACTTATATTAAGGTCTGTTCTGCAGTTCTCCATCTGTGAAACTTTTTCCAACTTATGAAGTGAATCCATGAGTAAGTGACTGTAGTTAAAACTGCAAAGCATCCCAGTCAGCTTTATGTCACGAGGATCCTTTGGACTATAAGAGAGATGGGCATCCAAGTAAAACCAGAGCTCTGTCTTCAGGGAATATGGATGCTGATTTGTAACCAGCTATGTCTATTACATGAGATAAGGCTGTTTTCAAGTTTAGAATATCATAAGGTGATGTGGGTGGCTTCCGAATGTTTACTATTCTCACGTTTTTTATCTTTGTGTCACTAGCAGTTGGAAAACTTCCTGTTGCCTGTGGCACCTTCAGCCCATAGTCAACATCCTAGCATTTGATGACTCTTGATCTCAGATGTCCATAAATTAATATTTAGGTTAGCCTTAATCTTTCCAAGAAGACTATAAATTCTGTGGGGTCGGGTCTATGTCATCTCTCTTGATGAATTCCTCACATCAGAGTAGATATATAGCTATTTAGCAGATAAGTTTATTTGGTGTGTAGTAGTTGAATAATTACTGTAAGTCAGTTTTATTGAATTAAGACATTTCAGTGGATTGAGTCTTATATCTGTATTTACAGCTGCCAGTTTCTGGTTAGCTCCGGGAAAAGTGACAAGAATTTTGCCAGGTTTGCTTTGAGTCGAGGGATTAAAGGGGAAGAAGTGACCGAGACCCTGAGACAGGGAGGTCTCCCTCTATCTTGATCAAACTTTCCAACCTTTAGAGCCAGTACTTTTGACAGGAAAAAAGATAGATATGCACTCCTTACAGTGTGATTCAGATGAGCTATGTGTCTATAGAAGGATGAGAATGTTTTTTAAAGTTAAATCAACTATTTTTTTCCTGTTCTGGTAGGTGGTTGTTGATGAACAGAACTTGGATTTCCTGTTGACTTACACAACTTCGGCAATTCAGCAGTGTAGCTCTTGGACACACGTGGACATTCTTCAAGCCCTGGCAGCTCTGGTTTACTGCAATGGCTCAAAATGTCAAAAGGTATTCAGAACTGTTCTGTCTTTCCTTTGAAAGATCAAGAGTATAGACTCTAGAGCCCCCGTACCTGTGTTCAGATATCCATCCTGCCACCAATTGGATGAGTATCCAGAGCAGTCTTACTGAACTCCTCTGAGCTTTGTTTCTTCCTGTGTAAAATAGTTGCTCTGAGGATGAAATGAGACAGTGCTTGGCGTTCTGTACCTGTTGGCCATTGTTATTGCCACCTGTCATCAGTGAGTCAAGACTAAAGAGCTTCAGCTGCTACCCAGCAATGATGCTGATTTTTGGCATGGGTTTGGATACTCATCTGAAGGATTTAGCTAATGGGTAATCTTTTGATACATAACTGCTCTTCAGTTAAGACAGTATTATTTGGGGCTGGAGAAATGGCTTAGGATTTAAGAGTGCTCTTGCAGAGGCCTTGGGTTCAGGTCCCAGCATCCACATGGTGGCTAACAGCCATCTGTAATTCTGGTTACAGGGGGATCCGACACCCTCTTCTGACTTCCATGGACACTGCATGACACAGGTGCACTTGTGTACATGCAGGCAATCAATACACACACACACATACAATAAAAATAATAAATATTTTTAAAAAGAAAGTATTCTCTAATAAGTACTATTTTTCCTCGAAGCTTTTCTTAGATCACATTGCTGTTATTTTGTTTCAGTATCTTCCAGACTTGCTGGGCAAGAGCGGCCTCTTAATGAAGTTCAGTGACTTATCTCGCTCTGATCCTGAAGTCAGGAGGGCTGCAGTGCAGTGTATGGTAAACTTGTGTCTCAGGTATGTAGATCCAGTCCGGTTCCCCAATAGTAGAAGACAGGACCTCTTTGGGGCCTTTTGTAGGTTATTCTGTCTGTCTGAAGTCAGAGCCAACTCAGAAAAATAGCCTAGTTTAAGTTACTCATGGTGTCATTATCCGTGATCCAGCACTCAGAAGGCCAAGGCAAGAGGATCATTAGTTTGAGGCTGGCCAACTTAGTAAATTCCAGACCATCCTGGGCTGCATAGTGAGACTATGTCTTAAAAAACAGGGAAGGAACTTATTTTATATTTCCTATGCCATCCAATAAGCCTGTCTTATGTTTTTAATTAAAGAAAGCTTATCAAGAAAGGAAGTGAAAAATACATGGCTAAAAAAGCTATGTGTGTATATGTGTGTAACATGTCAGGGTTTTGTTTTCCGTTGGCAAAAGTTTTATCCATATTAAGGCTTTTAGAAAGTCATATTCATATGAATTTATACTCTTGTGAGGTTTTTCTATTCTTTTTTAAGAAAGTAGAGACAGTCTGTAACTTGAGGTAGGAAATGGACAGTACAAACTTGGACTCGTCTCTTTATAGCACCATGTGGTCTGGTGGCCAGGCATGCAGATTCGGTCATGCAGCGTTAATCTGCGTTATTTCCCTCCTAGAACTGAGAGGCAGAACTAAAAATGTTCTTTCTTTCTCCCACTTCTTCCACTGTACTTCTGTAATGTTTTCCTAGCGAAATTGTTCTTCCTGCTTCATATGTGTTCAAGCCTGTGCCTGGCCAGCAGCAGGCGCTAATTAGCCAAAGTGCACAGTTTTATAGTACAGTAGTGTTCAAGGGTGCATTCCAAATCTTATTAGTCTGTGTTGCTGTTGTTAATACTTACTCTTTTTAGACACCATTTCAAAGGAGACTGACTGCTTGAATCGTTTCCATTGCTTGTGTTTTAGTGTGCCTGGACAGCCGTATTTGGAGGAATCCTACCAAAATGTGTGCTTCCAAGCTTTCTTGACCATTTTGCAGTCTCCAAAATCATCTAATATGGATGATGTAACATTTTGCATGGTAGGTGGGACTACCTATTGTACAAATGTACAGGTGCGTCTAGAAGCAGAAGCAGAAAGAGGCTATCACAGGCATCTGGCTGCTGTTTCAGTTTGGTATGGATGTGCATACATGTGTGCCTGGACTGGAGATGAGCCACAGCACTGAAGTCACACCTTTGGATTCAAACATGAGAAGCCTCTTTAGTTTATTTTGGTTTGTTCTGAGTTTCATTTTGCCATTCTGGGTTAAAAAAAAAAAAAAATCAAAATATGAAAAAAATACATAGTTTTTCCTCCTGGGTCTGAAAGTAATACAATGTTCATGACTGATTTTAGGGTGAAAAGGAAGAAAGTAGATTTCAATAATGTCTGCATTATTTTATTTCCTTTTAAAAATCTGGCATAAATATAAAGATTTATGAGTCTGTTTTAAATTCAGAATGACATATATTTTAAGCATTACAGATCCAAGATAGCAGAAGTTCCTTTTAGTACCCTGCTCAGATGTGACAACCGGGATAATTCATTCTGTGGGCCTTCAGATTTCTGAATGAGCATGTTTATTATTTTATTTCATTTATTTTATTTTTTAATGATTTACTTATTTTTATTTGTACAAGTATTTGGATTGTCGGTATGTTTACTGGTATGTGTGTAGTGCCTGTGAAGACCAGAGGATGACAGAGCCACCATGTGGGTGCTGGGAGTCAAACCCTGGTCCTCTGGAAGAACAGCAAGGGCTCCTATCCCCTGAGCCACCTCTCCAGCCCCACTTTTATCATTTTAAATGGAATTATATTTAACATACTGTTTTACACCTTTTTAAAAAAGTCTTAATGTCTCTTAGATATCTTTTCAATACATATTAATAAATGTGATGCTTTCTAATGGCTACAGATGGACTACTTTGGTTAGATTATTTAACTTCTTGGAGCCTCCATGTTCCACTTTGAAATAGGACCAATATAGCTGTATTGTAGGGTTCTTAGGAGATATATATGAAATAAAACATTTAAAGTGCTGCAAAAGTACATATTATTAACACTGTTGTTGACTTTCACATTAATTTCTTACATAATTGTAATCAAAATTAATTAAAATTTTTTTCCAATATTTCAAACAAAACTGTGGTTCATATCATTCCCTGTGGGGAATATTTCTGGGGGACAGTTTACTAAGTTAAGAAATCAGTCTTGCCTCCATGGACCACGTTTTATCATTCAGCATCTGTTCCCACATCTGCCTTTGCCTTTAAGAGCTGCTGAAGGTGCTTTGCTGCAGAGCTTTCCCACTTCTGATCTCTGCTCCAGTTTTCATTCTCACAACATTTCTCCCAGTCTCACCCTCTCCTCCCCGCGCTCCTTGCTCACCATTTATACATGCTGGTTTTAGGCGTGTATCTTAAGATCACTCAATAAGATTATTCTTAGGACTGGAGAGATGGCTCAGTGTTTAAGAGCACTTGCTGCTCTTGCAGAGAACCAGAGTTCAGTTCCCAGCACTGATATGGTGACTCACAACCCTTGCAACTCTAGTTCCAGGGCATCTGGCTTCCTCTTCTGATTTTTGAGGGCACCCCACTTACTTGCACATACAAACACACAGATACACATGAACACATAAATAAATAAGAAAAGACTGAAAAATAACAAACCCAGTGCTGGGTATGGTGGCTCACACTTTGAATCCTAGCACTCAGGAGGCAGAGGTAGGCGGATTGCTGAACTAAAGCGCCAGCATGGTTTACACAGTGAGTTCTAGGTGGGCTGGGGCTATGGGAAACCCTGTCAAAAAAAAAAGTACTCTTCTAGAAAGTGACCCAGAGTATTCATCAGGTCTGTTCCCTGCATCTTCATCTCTACTTTGTGTGTTTCAAGTTTTTCATCATCTGGAAGACTTTTTCTCTTCTATCGGAAGTGCTGCTAAGAAGTTGGTCCCTAGACAACCACATCTTATTCTGTCTTCTAATGTGGATCTCTTTCCCCGTAGTTGTTACAGAATGCATTGAAAGGCATACAGTCACTTCTAAATGGTGGGAAGATGAAACTGACACAGACTGAGCAACTTGGAGCCCTTCTAGCTGTGTTAAAGGTAAGGCAAGTCGTCATCATCATCATCATCAGTGTTCCCTATTTTAAACCCCAGATGTAAGAACCATTTTATATTACCCTTCTGTGGCTAATTCTAAGGTATTAAAAGTTCTATAAATTTTCAAGATCAGAATAAAATATTATATAAAATTAAGCACAGAGAACAACCACAATCAAATATATCAAAAAAATTTAAATTATTTTTGAATCTCAGGAAAGAATCGATTATGAGATATGCTGTGTAGATATTTAATTACAGATGATCTTGAACCTGCCTTCCCTTGTTTGTGCTTGAAAGAAGAGTAGCAGACAGGTTGATCAAGTTGTGTGTCAGCAACTGCCATTGTTAGCTCTGGGTCTGCCACACAGTGGGGAAATTGGGTCACCTCTCTGAGACTCTGCACTGTTCAGTTCAACCAGGAAAGACTCAGGGGCTCCACATTCCCCGCAAGTCAATGCCAGGTGTGAAAATACAACTTCATGACCTAATTTTTTAAATTGATTCTTTGTGTGTGTGTGTGTGTGTGTGTGTGTGTGTGTATTTCATACAGAACATCCCAAACAATCTTACTCATCTTTTTACCCGCATCCCAAATGGTACCCTCCCATAGCCTCCCACCCCCACTGGAGCCCGTACACTCTGTCATCCCTGTTACTGCCCACTGTGTTGTCACTGCCCCCAGCCTTTCCCCAGTGCAAGTCCATCCGCTGAGTCTAGTCAGCCTGAATCCCTAGAGTCCCTTGTTTTAGGAAGACAGCTCTTCCTTATCTAGCAACAATCAGTTGCCAATATTCCTTTAGATAAGATTGGGGTTTGCTGTTCGTTTTCCCAGTTCTATGCTGGGCTACTGTCTGGAAGTCTCTTGGGGCACCCTGGCCAACAACTCAGAGGAAGGTATCTCCTGTCTGGCATTGTTTCTTGTTATGTAGCCTTTAGTCACATGGACTTGTAAGGAAATATACTGATCACTTTAATCATTGGCTATACTTTCCTTTTGGGTGTTTAAGACCATATGGTTGGACCAAATAAACCAATTTATTTTTACTCTTAAGGTCATTTGAGGATCTGTTCCTCAGGGGTCACATGGGCTTGGGAGGAGCCCCTGGCTCCTTTCTTTTACCAGTTCCATCTATGTGAAGATAAGCATGACCTAAATTTTAACTCCTTTCCTGTGCCATTTCTCTTAATCCCTAATTAAATACAGACAGATACATGTAGAAGTAAATAACTAATTTAGTTTAATTTAGTTTAAACAATTCAGAATAGATAAATTAACTGGGCTAAGTGATTTGATAAACACAAATAATAGATATACTAAAATCAAACCTAATCTGATATAGCCAACTAAGATCCAGCTGACATCTAATTAAATCTGATTACGCTCTTCTTCCATCCCAGTACTAACCAAGGCCCAACCCTACTTAGGTCCCCAAATCAGATGAGATCGAGCACAGTCAATGTGGAATGAATGATCATGGTCAAGATTAAACTCTTAAGTCCGAACCTTGTAACGTGTCTACTTCCTGTCTTGTTTTTATTCTTCATTAGTTTCTAAACATCAGTCTGTATTTTTACCCAGAACATGCTAATTCTTTTTTATGATTTATGTGGTATGTGTTTTTCCTCACTTCTCACTGTTAGAAAACTATGTTTCATGGACTTCCTGGACTAAACATAGAGATGCCTGCAGTGCTATACCCAACTCCACTTCCTCAGTATGATGGACGATCACCTGTCAAGCCACACCAGCCAGAACCCAGTGCTGCTCGGCCATCTGTGGTACATTAATGTCCATTTAGACTTAAGCTGTGAATTGCTTAAGTAGCTTGCTATGATGCTGTGTGTGTTTTCTATGGTTTGTGTCACTGTTGCCTCAAAAGTCCACTTAGAATTTGTTTTTGACTTAGTGTATCTGGTATAGGAAATTTAAATTTCTCAGACTGCTGAAGATACCCCTTAAAATGAAAGCACCTGTGCTTCTGAGAGGTCTAGACAGTGGAACAGCTGCAAGAATAAGCCTTTACGTCCAAAGCCGAGTATCCACATTCCTGGACATCCCAAGACCAAGAAGAATCAATAAGCTTTTTCTATAGAGTATTGACTGGTAAATATTTTAGGTCTCTGCCACAGCCACCATAGTGCATAAGCTGCCAGGGATTCACTGTGGAAGTGAGTGGGCATGGCTGTGTTCCCATGAAGCTTTATTTATAGAAGCAGGCTATGGGTTGAACTGCATTTGGCATTTGGGCCATAATTTGGCAGCTTTTCTCTAGGGCCATCAAAGCCCACCTGCCTCTCGGTTCACCGTCTCCATGCCCTTACATCCACTACACTTCCCAGCCTTTCTCAACAGCTGTCTTTGTTGGTTCCCATCTGAAAACCTGGAGCATACAGGTATGTGACTAAGGTTTTAGATCCAGAAATGTAGTATCTAATGAAAATAATGCATAAAATTAGAAATTCTTTTTTTTTTAACTTTTACAAAAACTTTATTGAGAATTTCATGCATGTATATAAGGTGTTTTGATCAAATCCATGCCCACTCCCTCCCCTCCAACATTCCCCCCTCTGAAGAGGTAACCCTAAAATCTTT